AATGCACATCCTTCTGTGTTGCACACACTAAATTCATTAATCAATCATCAATCACTCATCAAGCGATCATCAGTCAATCATCAATCACTCATCAATCCATCATCGATCAATCATCAATCGATCATCAATCAATCATCAATCAATCAATCATCAGTCAATCATCAACGACTAATCAACCAATCATCTGTCCACCATCAAACAATCATCAGTCCATCATCAATCAATCATCCAGCAATCATCAACCAATCATCCAGCAATCATTAACCAATCATCCAGCAATCATCAACCAATCCTGACTCAATCATCAGTCATGAATCAATGATGACTCAATCGTCAACGACCATCGTTAGTCGATGATTGTCACCAGCGAGCAGTATTGTCGGTTATCGCCATCAAGCAATCATGGAGCTATCATCAATCAATCATCAATCAATCATCGATCACTCATCAATCAATCATCGATCACTCATCAATCAATCATCAAACTATCACGAATCACTCATCGACCAATCATCAGTCAATCCTCAACGAATCATCAGTCAATTATCAGTCATGAATCAATGACGACTCAATCAGCAGCGACCGTCCTTGATTGATGGTCCTAACCAGCGATCAGTATTGTCGGTTTTTGCACTGATCGCAGTGATTTTTTGTGACAAGTTGGACGGTTCAGATTGTATGACCCCCGTCGGGATCACTTGGACTGTGTGGAAAACCGCGGAAAGGGAGGCTGCAGCGTAGTCTTTTTTTTTTTTTTTTTTTTTTTGAACTGCAGCGTAGTCCAGCCCAGGGGCCGAACCAAAGGGGAAAAAAAAAAAAAAAACCTGAAGGTGATAAATTTGAAGTAAAAAAATAAGATGGAAAAAAAAAAACCACGACAGCAGCGCCAGTGACATCCTATCATTAGTGTCTTCTCTTTTTTCCACGATCATGACCTGCACGGTGGTTGCAGAGCGCAGATTGAGCTATCGTCATCATCATCATCATCATCGCCGCCATAGCCCATCATCATCATCATCATCATCATCATCATCATCATCATCATCGACTCAGAATGAGCATCACCAGCAAGAACTGCAAGTGTACGAAAGTTCCCGTGTGTCCACGTGGCAGCATTAGTAAGATGCCAGATGGGATGACTCAGAATGGCCACGAGAATGTGGTTGTTGGAGGTCACGAGTTACTCGGATTCTCATCTGGATGTGAGCACCCTCATGAAGTGCTAAATAGTTGGCGGCTTCTTGTTCAGGAGTTACTCGGATTTCTCATCTGGATGTGAGCGCCCTCAAGCAGTGCTAAATAGTCAGTGGTTCTTTGTTCAGGAGTTACTCGAATGTGTTCTCATCTGGATGTGAGCACCCTTAAGCAGTGCCAAATAGTCGGTGGTTCTCTGTTCAGGAGTTACTCGGATGAGTTKTCATCTGTGTGAATTTTTTTGATGGTCCTCCTGATTTTGTGTTCTGTAGTCGTCTGCTGCAGGCTCTTTTCTGTATGTGTGATATAGTCTGAAAGCAAAGGCTGATGCTCTTGTGTGCATGCTCTTGTGTGCATGCTCGTGTGTGCATGTTTCACGTCTGTCCACATGCAGAGGCTGATGTTGCTGATCAGTATATCATCTATGCAGCTGTGGTCCCCACATGCAGGGGAAAGAGGGAAGGGAGGTTCTGCCCATGGCGGCGGTAGGGGAGGATAGTGCGGCACCTGTGCCTTTTTAAAGAGAAGTGTCCATTGGTGCTCCTTTCTCTAAGCCACCAGTACATGGCCATGCATCGGCCATGGGCCTCTCACCACGACTTTCGGAGGCCGGAAATGCCAAAGAGCCCATTGATGAAATTTATCAACGGTGGCCTGGCCCTGAAAGTTGCGGTGGTGGGGACAAGTTCATTTTCTRCAAGGCTGGGGCTGTGTGCTGGTGGTTCAATACTCGAGCCCTCTCCGAACCGTACGAGATAGTTAGGGGAGGATAGGGGAGGGGAGACCAGAGGGGGGAGGGGAGGGGAGGATAAGGTTTTTTTTTTTGTATTCTTTTGTCTTTTTTTTAGGAGAGGAGTAATTATGCCTCTTCTCTCTCATGAGACATCATGCATGCACTTGGGGAGGTCCCACTAGCAAAGAGGATTTAAAGCCTGCATCTGTACATGTTTGTTGAGAGATGCAGAAATCACAATTTATCTCCTTTTCTGCATCTCTGTTTAAACCCCACCCAGATTCGGGCACTAAATCCAATCTCTTTGGTAGTGGGACCTCGCCCCCCAAGAGTCGTCTGCTCGCAGCGGTAATAACAACAAGTGGGGGCCGACATGACTGGGGCGAAGGAGAACAAGCAAAAACCACTGCCTACTGCTGCCATGTCATCGTCTGGAGATGGGACAAAGAAAGGATCGGGATCGGGATCACGATCTGATCGGGCGGTGATAGTGAGAGCTGTATCGGGATCGCTGGGGGGACTTGTGGAGGCGGCCAGTCTGCAGCCCATTGACGTGATCAAGACCCGTCTTCAACTGGACAAGAAGAAAGAGTACAAAGGGATGGTGGATTGCGGGGTGAGCATTGTGCGGAATGAGGGGTTAAGGGCCCTTTGGAAGGGTCTGGGCCCCTTCTCCACCSACCTAACCCTTAAGTACGCTCTRAGGATGGGCTCCAACTCCTATTTCCTCTCGGCTTTGCGAGCACACTACCCTTTTCCCCTCYGGGACAGTTCACGGCAGTTCATGGCTGGATTTGGTGCAGGGGTCACTGAGGCCGTGGTCATTGTTACTCCATTTGAAGTGGTGAAGATTAGACTCCAGGAGCAGAGGGGGTTGGCCAAGGACAAGCTCAAGTACAGAGGGGCCCTGCATGCTGCCCTCACCATTTCGAAGGAGGAGGGGGTCAAAGGTCTGTGGAGTGGGGTGGCCCCCACTGTTGCTCGTCAAGGGCTTAACCAGGCGGTAATGTTCACAACGAAGGCTGCAGTGGACAAGCATGCATGGGGGAAGAGGGATGGGGATGGCAAGGTCCTCCAGCCCTGGCAGTCTATGGTGTCGGGGTTCACAGCAGGAGCCCTAGGCCCCATGTGTACTCAACCCTTTGACACCGTCAAGACCCGTCTCATGGCGCAGGAGAACGCGCTGACCAAACAGCAGGCGGCCAAAACTGGTTCCAAGGAGCAAAAAACTTCTGAACCAGGTGGGGCAACTTCTAGACCACGTGTAACAACTTCGGGACCACGTGGAACAACTCCTGGATCAGGTCAAACAACTTCTGGACCAGGTGGAATGGTGCCGGGACCAAGTGGAATGGTTTATGCACCAGGTGGAGGGACTTCTGGACCAGGTGGAATATGTTCTGGACCGGGTGGAATGACTTTGGGACCAGGTGGAACAACTTCKGGACAGGGCGGAATGAATTCTGGATCAGGTGGAATGGTTGGACCAGGTGGAACGAGGTACAGAGGCATGCTGCATGGCATTAGCAGGATTGTGGCTGAAGAAGGGACCTTGGCATTGTTTAGAGGAATGTTTCCTCGGCTTGTTCGTATACCTCCAGGACAAGCCATCGTGTGGGCGGTGGCAGATCAGGTCACTGGGATGCACGAACGAAGGCAATCTGGCAGCTGACCTGAAAAGATGACAGTGTTAGAGAACCCGCTAGCCAGCTTGAAATTGTACCTTAAGGCTTTTGTTCATCCCACACCAGGGCCCTCCTGCTCCCTCTCCCCCCTTCCTTTCCTTCTACCAATCATCTTCATGCGGGTAGTTCAGCTCATCGGGAGCAGCGGAAAATGGGAGAAGAGAAGAGGTACTGCAGCGGCTAGTYGTCGGATACTATGTGTTGAGCAACGGCGAGGCTACATCATTTGTTTTATTATTTCTTTTTATTTCTAACAGGGCTACATTATCCTGATGACCATCAGCGTTATCATTACTACAGGGAAGGATTCAGTAGCAGACCAAGCAATGAGTAAGAGAGAGAGAGAGAGAGAGAGAGAG